ATTTGAAGGTTGTTGCTCTCTTGCTTGGTCTGCAGACTGGATACACAAAGTACTGCTGTTTTCTCTGCGAATGGGATAGTCGTGCAAAAGATTCCCACTACATCAAGATAGATTGGCCACTCCAACAGTCATTGGAGCCTGGGAGGAAAAGTGTTCAGCATCCACCACTTGTTGAATCAAGGAAGATTTTGTTACCAACCTTACACATCAAGTTGGGTCTGATAAAGAACTTTGTCAAGGCCATGGATAAAACACAAGCAGCTTTCAAGTACCTCCATGGAAAATGTCCAAGGTCAAAATTTCCAAGGTTAAGTGAAGGTGTCTTTGTTGGTCCTCAGATTCGTGAACTTCTTCGAGATGATGCATTTGACCATGCAATTCATGGCAAGGAAAAGATGGCATGGTAAGCCTTCCAGTTAGTGGCAAGAAATTTTCTTGGAAACAACAAGGCAGACAACTACAGGTTGTTGGTGGAAAACCTCCTCAAGGCATACAAAAGCCTTGGTTGCAACATGTCACTAAAGATACATTTTTTGCACTCTCATCTAGATTTTTTTCCACCGAATTATGGAGCAGTGAGTGTCAAGCACGGCGAGCGATTTCACCAGGACATTGCAACAATGGACAAATGCTATCAGGGCAAATGGACCCCATCAATGCTTGCAGACTATTGCTGGACAGTGACAAGAGACGCTCCATTTAATGAATACAAGAGACAAGCCAAGAAGCGCCGAGTAGACACTGTAGATAGGATTAAACTATCTACATAATAATTTTTTGCCTTTTATTTCATAATAAATTTTATTTATATAACCCTTTTGCTGATTTTTAAAGTGTTACATAAACAGAACAGGTGAAGTATGACCATGTAAAGCAACCATAAACACATGAAAGACCTAGGTTTACAATTTATGATTAAAACTCTACTATTTACACAATATACATAGACGTAAAATGTAAAAACGTAAATATCTTGGAAACAGTAGCAAATCAGTTGTTTTAATTGTCATATTTGAATTCAGCACATCAAAATACATAATAAATAGCACATTTTATCTCTGAAGCAGTCGACTTCTAAAAAATTGTAGACCGGTGTAATCAACAATTTATTCTTTTAAAATATACTTTTACTCGAGGCAGACCATTTATAGATCCAGACAAACTTTAAATTCAATGCACATGAAAGTATTGCTGTAGGCTTTGGTAGAGATTGACTGCAGCCAGGTTACTTGTCCACCAAGAACTGGAGAAGACCACTATTTCATATAGACCACTCAACACTTCCCATATGAACCGTCAATGAAAGATGGAGCTGGCTTTGATGACCTCTTGAAGTCCTTGTCAGCTCTACATCTCTATGAGTCTATGAAGCTTGAGGTTTAGAAGTTTATCTAATTCACCAGTCTGGAGTTTAGCTAATCTTTGGTCTGAAAATCTCATGAAATAAGGCTTTCAATACAATATTTTGTGTGTTTCCTGGTTTTGACCAGGTAGGAAACTCTATGGGAACTGTTTGGCTCTATCCGGATTCCCACTTGTTATCTAATCTTTCCACACATCCCCTGCCAGGACCTCATTCCTTTCATCCTTATCCTGCTTATCCATGTAGGTAGTGACAGCCTCTTTATCACTCATTGGTAAGATTCTGATGATCTCTCTCTACATGAGCCAAAACAAAATACAGGACTATGTAGCACTTTAAAGACTAACAAGATGATTTATTAGATGATGAGCTTTCGTGGGCCAGACCCACTTCCTCAGATCAAATAATGGAAGAAAATAGTCACAACCATATATACCAAAGGATACAATTTTAAAAAAATGAACACACATGAAAAGGACAAATCACATTACAGAACAGAAGAGGGATGTGGGGGGTGGGGGGAAAGGAAGATGAATGCCAGTGAGTTAATGATATTAGAGGTGGGGAAGGGGAAATGTCTGTGAGTTAATAGTATTAGAGGTGATAATTGGGGAAGCTATCTTTGTAATGGCTAAGATAGTTGGAGTCTTTGTTAAGTCCCCTGCGGAGAGTGTTGAATTTTAGCATGAATGCCAGTTCAGAGGATTCCCTTTCAAGTGCAGATTTGAATGTCTTCTGAAGTAGGATGCAGGTTAGCAGGTCATTCAGACAGTGTCCTTTCTGGTTGAAATGACAAGCAACTGTTTTTTCTTTGTGATCCTGTCTAATGTCTGTTTTGTGGGCATTGATTCTTTGGCGAAGTGTCTGAGACGTTTGTCCAATGTACATAGCAGACGGACACTTACGGCACATGATAGCATAGATTATATTTCTGGAGGCGCAGGAATATGTATTCTTGATCTTATAACTCACTTGGTCAGGCCCAATAATGGTGTCAGCAGAGTGAATATGTGGACAAAGCTGGCAACGGGGTTTGTTGCAAGGGAAAGTACCAGGGTTGGTATTAGTGTGGTATGTCCTGTGGTTGTTGGTAAGAATCATCTTGAGGTTAGGTGGTTGTCTATAGGAGACTATGGCTCTGTCTCCC